ACAAAATTATGAACACATGAAAGTATGAATTCAAATTTGAATGAGTGAGAAAATTGTTTATTGAAGAAGGTTTTTTGTTGTATGAAAATGTTATTGTATTCTTGTTCTTTAAAATCTGAAAATATGCATTTTATAAAGTCATAAGAACCTCTTCATTCATGCCAATTCATATGAAAAGTTGCAATGCATTCATGAAAAGATACCACTTGAAAAATGTTTAAAAAACAAAAGAAAAGTTGCACTGGTTCGCTAGGAACCGGTTCCGACACTGACAGAACCCGGTTCTTAGTGAACGTTATAAGTCAGATTTCAAAAAATATCACGCAGGAACCGGTTCCCCTATTGGTACAACCCGGTTCCTGGTACAAATTCCAGGGACATGTTTTTTGAACAAGGTTTGGAACCCGGTTCCCTGTTAGGGAGGAACCGGTTCCTGAAAGTTAATTTTCAAAAATTCTTTTTGAAAAAGATTTTAAACAAAGTTTTTCTTAAGTGAAACATGTTGGATACGTATATGATTATGAATGCATATTTTTTTGTGAACATCTATATTCAAGATTAAGAATTATTTATACCATTTGACATTTGATGATTCTTCAATAATTCTTCAATAATCTTATATGATGTTGATAAGCTTTTTGCACATCCTTTGAATGTTGATGTCCATGTTGTCTTCATCAAAACACATGCTTTAAATATGACTTGAGAAGCTTGCAATTACATATACCACCATTCTGATGAATTCAGATCATCAGGTTCAGAAGCCAACAATAGCACAGGTTCATCATCTGAATCTCCTCTGGCTATTTTTGCTTCTTCTGACTTCCTTTCTTTGTTTGACCAGCAATCTTTGGCATAGTGACCAAAGTTCATGCAATAGTAACACTGAACATTCTTCTTGTCAGACTTCTCCTTTTCCCTCTGGACATTCTTCTGCCTATCAGAGTTTGAAGCTTCTGACTTCTGGAATCTATCACCACGTCTATTCTGCTTCTAGTTTTTCTTGACAAAAGAAGCCTTCGGAGCTTGCTCAGCTTCCCTCTCAGAAGTTCTCTCAGACAAGCGTAACTCCTGTGCTTCTAAGCTGCTTTGCAATTCTTCTATTATGATAGTTTCCAGATCTTTAGAATGTTCAATAGAAACAACAATGTAATCAAACTGAGGAGTAAGCGACCTCAGAATCTTCTCTATGATTACTTGTTCTGTCAAAGTTTCTCCACACGGCTTAATCTCATTAGTGATCAGAATCACTCTGGAGATATATTCAGAAACTTTCTCACTGCTCTTCATGTTCAGGTTCTCATATTGCTTTCGTAGGGATTGAAGCTTTACCTTCTTTACTGATGCGTCACCACCGTAACATCTGACCAGTAAATCCCACGCCCCTTTTGACATTGATGAATCAAAAATCTTCTCGAAGACACTTTTATCCACACACTGATAGATATAGAACAGAGATTTCTGGTCCCTCTTCCTCATCAACCTCTCAGTAGTTCTCTGTTCTTCTGATGCATCTGCTGCAGCTGGTACATAACCATCTGTAACCAAATCTAGAACATCTTGTCCACCAAACAGTACATGCATTTGTATCATCCATCTGTTCCAGTTTTTGCCATTAAAAACTGAAAGTTTGGTGTTCAAACTACCGTTTCCACTCATTTAAACCTTGCACGGATTTTTCAGATCTTCAAACACACTATTTCCCAACCCACAGAATCAAATTTTGTTCAAATTTTGTTCAAGATTTCAACAGAAAATCAATGAACCAAAATCAAACACACAGCTCACAAACACTCGTGTTTCCCAGGAAAAACAGAACCAAATGCTCTAGATATCAATTTGTTGGTGCAAGATAATGAAATGGAGAAGAAGAATGAGCAATGAATGATGACAAAGAGGACTACTATTGTATATTAAAAAGAGGAATGAATGAGTTACAATATTGATAGCCTAGGTAGCATATTTATACTAAAATTGAAAATGCCAAAAGGCCCTAATAAAGAATAGCATTGGGAATTGTAGACATTAACTAAATTACATTTCAAAATGGAAGTAGTCGTTAACTACTCAGTGGTTCAAGCTAATGAAGTCAGTGAGATATTAACTAAGATTTATCTGAAAAGAAGAGAATATAAGTCAAACACAGTCCAATATGGCATTTTGTCGAACAGTTGATATCATAATGAATTGAGGTTATATACTTATGCATCAAGCAACTACAAAGATAAGGAAAGACTCACCAGCTAGCAAGTAGAGTTATGAATCCAACAAGGCATTTCGTCGAACAGTTGATGTGCATTGTGAAAAGAGAATATATACTTATGCATCAAACACCTACAAAGATAACGAAAGATTAACCTGCTAGCAAATAGAGTTATGAATCCAATAAGGAAAGCACATTATTACCTTGAAAATGATTGAAATTGATTGATTGTAGAATGGTGGATTGTGTAGCATAATCCAATAGTAGAACGACCGATTGCGAAACTGTAGATTGCAAAGCAGCAAAACAGAAAACCTGATTACAAAATTGCAGGTAGCGGATTTGCGATTGAACGAAGTGAAAATTACAGTTCAAATGATTGGAAGGGTTCATTATTAGGGTTTCATATTGATTCTGACACTGAAGAGGTGTAATTCTAATTTCAAATCAATGTTAGGGTTTGAATTTGAATGAAATGAACGAATTAAAATACGAAGAAGGAGATGCATACAATTTTGTTTTCTTTTTTTAATTCGTAGTACAATAAGTAAGATGATTATTATTAGTTTTTTTTATATAAGTTTACTATTATTTAACATTATATATATATATATATATATATATATATATATATATATATATATATATATATATATATATATATATATATATATATATATATATATATATATATATATATATATATATATATATATATATATATATATATATATATATATATATATATATATATATATATATATATATATATATATATATATATATATATATATATATATATATATATATATATATATAAGATAATCAAAATAAGGGAAGAGTGAGATAAATTTTCAGTAAATAGTGGCTGTTGAAACTGTCGTTTAAGTCCTAATATTACGACGCTTAGTAAAACTGTCGTTTTAATATAACCGCCATAATTTATATTTTTTTATAGTGTTATACCTAGAAACAACAATTAGGGGGCTCATGTTCTAGTCTGGTCAAATGCCTAGGCATGACCCAATTCACTTCTACATCCAAGATGGCCAAACAATTTTGGCCCAATTAATTGGAGCAGACAAATGACACCTTTTCCTTCTGCCCCTCAGCCGGAGACACGTGGTCGGTTTCCCCCAACGACCAAAGAGACCACATCTTCTCTCTACAGCACTTTTGCCCCTCAGCCGGAGACACGTAGTCGGTTTCTCCCCAAGGACCAAAGAGACCACATCTACCCTCAGTAGTACTTCTTCCCCTCAGTCGAGGAAATATGGTCGGTTGTCCCCCAGGACCAACGGGACCACCGCTGCCCTCCGCAGCTACTTCTGTCTATCGATCGCGGACACATGGTCGGTTGTCCCCTCAGGATCAACGAGATCACAACTTTCCGCTCGAACCGGATAGTCCTCATCCTGCCACCCACACGAGGACAGTGATCCAGGAATGACAAGAATCATGCTTGCCCGTGAACACTTCTTTGCCCTTCGTAACGAACATCATCTATGCCCGTTACGACTAATTCCTAGCATCTTTACGCCTGCCCACATCGACCACCTCCAGGTCTGCTCGATACGCGTGGAGCAGACAACCAGGGAACGCCTAAGACGCATCTGCCCGCAGCGGAAACTTCCTCCATGTTAGCCCGACACGAGTCGAGCTGACAACAGGGAAACGTCCAAAACACATATGCCTGTAATCCCTCTCCTGCTCAGAGCAACGATTAGTTACAGACATGACTGCCCATTTTGGCCAAGTCCTGACAATTAGATATTTTTGCGACCCGCATATCTAGGCCTAAAAATAGGACCAATGGTCAAGCGCCGGGGACATCATATAAACCCTTACACATGTGAGGGACATGTATTCAATGTTCATCACATACTTCTAAAACCCTAGACTTTCTATCTTTTATCTCTTTGTGCTCCTATTGACTTTGGCATCAGAGTGCCTGCAGGTACACCCCCTCCTCCTTCATTCCAGTATTGAAGTAGAAGTCTCTGGTCCACTTCAGGTTCTAGTCAAACGGGCCAATAATTTCTTTAGCGACCGATTTGAAAAATAATGATAAAATGTTTTTATTTTTAAGCCAATAATATTAAAAAAAATTATATAATATAATTATTAAAATTAAAATCATCTTAATTAATTCTTATTTTGGTGCAAATATGTTGCGACCAATATGAAAAATATTGTTTAAATGCTTTTATTTTTAAGCCAATAATATTAAAAATATAATAGTCGATATAATTATAATTATTAAAAATAAAATCATCTTAATTAATTCTTATATATATATATATATATATATATATATATATATATATATATATATATATATATATATATATATATATATATATATATATATATATATATATATAAATAATGTTTTTTGGTTAAAATAGTTTATTTATCAATTATATTATTATATTAATATAATGCATGAGTGGAAAAATATCATTAACGCCAGAAAATATATGGGACGTGGCACAATTATATAAACATAGCAAAAGGTTTTTCTCAAGTCTATAACAGATTATTAGTGTACATATTGATTGTGCCATTAAAAGAAACCCGTATATGTATATTTGTATTTTGCTTGTGAGTATATTTATCTTGTTATGGACGCAATTGCATGGTGATATAAAAGTGAAACCGCAAGCACAAGTTAAAATCATGTTCTCTCATCTTGTTTAGACATGAATGTAGAACACAGTAGTCAAAATTACATAACACTATAGATAGATGAGAAGAGAGACATGAATGCAGAAGACATAGACATTGGCTATATATGTCAAACTCTAAGCAAGTAAATGCTGAGTTCAGGAGCACGACTACCAACAGGGTTTAACATGTAGAAAGCTTCAGAGTCCTTAGAACCAACAACTCTCTCATACTTAGCTCTCATATACATTATCTCACCTTCAAACTCAGCTCCATTCTCATTACTTGGCATTGGTAACACACCAGCACCCATTGTAATAGGCTCCACAGCTCTCAATATCTTCCATTCCTCTGACCCACATTCATGTCTATATGCATAACCACATTTCCTTCCATTGCAATAACTCCTCCAAATGGGTTCCTCAAGCAACTTCAAACCTTTTGATTTCTTCTCACATTCCAATGCAATCCTCACCACCCCAGAAGCCATTTCCCTAACCAAAACACTTGTTGGTGTTGCTAGCTCAATCAAAAATGCAGGGCTTAACCTTGAGTCCTGTTGGAACGCAAAATGGACATGTCCACGACGATAGCCGAAAAGGGTACCCACCATTCGTGTGGTAGAACTGTGAAGTGAATGATTCTTTGTAAGAATGGTTAGTGCTGACTTGAACTTTGATTTTGAATTCTTGTTCTTTTCAAGAGTAGCCATTCCTACCGGCATTTGGATTCTAAGTTGATTATGATGATCTTGTTCTTTGTTTCCGCCAACATCATCATTGTCATCCTCAACAAAATGTGAGGATGAACTTATGTTGAGGATTTTTTCTTCATCGTCCTCGTACAAAGCCTTCTTTTTCCAATGGAAATACCTTGTAGAGAAGGAGAAAGAAGAGTCATGAGGTGATTTGGCTGCCATTATACTCTTCATAATAATGGAGAAAAAAGTAAACCACAAAAGTGTTGCAAATGATGTTTCTGACTTATAATCTACATCATTATGTTAAGCACTGCATAATATGATACCCGTGAAGGATAGGAAAGAGAATATGTCAAAAGTAAGGTAAACGGCCACCACCTACCTTTTAGGGAACAAGTAATTGGAGATTTGAAATGGACAGGTAAAGTTTGATGATTTTGTTGTGTGTGTGAGGTGGAACCACAATCAAATGGAGCCAGTTTTGGTGTAATTTCTTTATCAAAAGAAATGGGTAGGAGGAGGGGATTGACTTGTTACACTGAGTTGCACTTAATGGCAGGTGAAGTCACATCTACCCTACCCACCTACGGACCTAAATATGCAACTAAATTCAAAACTTTCTTTATCTTTATTTTTAGGAAATGTTTTCATTATTTCTATAATATTATTAGTGCATAAGGTGATTAAAACATAATAGAATGCAATAATATATTTATTAATCTGCAATTACAAATATAAAAGCTATAAGAAAGATTTATTATATTCTTAATAAAACCATAGTTATAAATTAGTATATATACATAAAGTAAACTATTACATAGACAACATACTAAAAGGTAAATTTAATAATTAAGTTTACTTAATAATAATTAGAACTCCAGAAGTTAAATATACTTCTGGAAAGCAATCTTAGAAGATTCTGCTTCTAATTAATAACAATTTTTGATTATGTATTACTTCTAACATCATCTCTTAATTCATATTTAACTAACCACAAATCTATAATACAAATTTCATCCCTCAAATGAATAAAGTGTTCAGCCTTAACATCCTTCGTCAAAAAATCTGCAAGTTTCTTCTGGGTGCTACAGTGTGCAACTTCTAGCACTTCATTCTGGACTTGACATGCAGACAAAGCACATGCAATGTATTCAGCTTCACGAGTTGACAACGCAACCACGTGTTGCTTCTTAGAGCACCAAGAAATGGAACTTCCTTAATACTTGAAAAATATCCATAAGTACTTCTTCTGTCAACTTTGTCTCCACACCAATCAGAGTCTGAATAGCATATCAGCTCTGCATCCACCTTCACATTAGAAGGGAATAACATTTCATACCTCATAGTCCCTTCAGTATCTTGCAGCATGTTAAACTCACAAATCTCCTTGATATTTCTCTGATTCGTCGTGGCCTTTGGACTTGTTCAGAATCTCCTAATATTTCTGAAGTAATATCAGATACTTGACCACCTCCAGAAGTTAGATTGCCTTTAGAAGTTCTTGTTAATTATCTATTTTTATATTGACATTAATTTTGGTAACACTAATTTGTCTATAACATGTTTAAAAGGATGTTCTAAACTTGCAGCAAGAAGAAATCGGACACGATGTCCTATCCAGTTCATTCGACATCTTGCCTATTACAGATGTTTCTCTTGGATTTATTTTGTTTTAACAGATCCTCAATATTCTAGGAATATTAGGATATTAAATGGGTCGTCCAAGACTGATGAATCATAGATTGTTTATGTATTTAGAAGATTAATTTGTTTCATTAAATGTTGATACATTTTAAGAAACAAATCATTGAAGTCCTATTTTTATGCAGAAGTTTCTGCTAGTTTTCTAGAACAGATCGGGTGCGTTTTTGAAGCTCAAATCCATTCCATTTAAGGATATAAAAAGAAGGCATCAACCCTAATTCAAGTCTGGAACTGAAGTGTATTTTATAGCGTTACAAAATGTGATTTTGTGTGTTCTTGTGTGTTGATTGAACACCGAGTCTTAGTGAATGTATTATGATTATTTTGTTTATTGTGAGACTCTCTAATATCACTTTGATAGAATAGTAGGGTTGTCTCTATTGAGTTGTATTTTATGTCTTCATTCATAAGCTTTTAAGTATTGAATGATAGTGTGTCATTGAAGTGTGTCTTCTGAAACTTTCTTTTGAATTGATTTATTTCACTGTTTGTAACTGAAGAGATTTGAGATAGGTCTAATACCTAGGTGAGTCTTAGGTAGAAGTTAAGAACGGGTAGTGATTAAGTGAGTAGATTGTAAACTAGTGAGATTTTTCTGTCATGTGCTGGAGATAAATCAATCCATTTCTTTGCAGTTCTCAGAAAGTCAGAGAAGTTCGAATGGGCAACATCATGTGAAGAAGCCTTTCAAATTGGTAAGCGTTTCATATCCTCTCCTCCTATCTTAACAAGGCCAAAAGAGAATGAACCCCTGATTTTGTACTTGGTGGTGTTTGGCAAGGCCATGAGCTCGGTTCTTGTATAAGGAGAGGTCAGGGAGAAGCCGGTCTACTTCATTAGCAAAGATCTGAAAGGGACTGAGTAGTGATACCAGAAAATTGAAAGACTGGCATTGGCTTTAGTGACAACAGCCCGGAATATGAAACACTACTTTCAAGTCCATTCGATAATTGCGAGGACCAATTATCCCATAAAGCAAATAGTGAAGAATCTGGACTTAGACGAGAGAATGGTCACATGGGATGTAGAACTATCCAAGTATGACATTGAGTTCACCCCGAGGACAAGCATCAAATCATAAGTGTTGGCAGACTTCCTAGTCGAGCTGAGTAACCATATACCAGAAGAAAGTACAAGAAGATGGATCCTTTATGTAGACTACTCGTCCAACCTTAAAGGGAGCAAAACAGGTGTCACATCTCAAAAAATCAACGGACACGAAAGGTGGCAAAAGAAGATTCTCCATCAATGCTATTTAGTCCAAGAGAGGGAAAGGAAACACTGAGTAAACCTAAGGAAGGGTAAGAGCATGGTCTCGCAACCAAAAGAAAAGGGTAAGGAAGTCGATTACGCAAGAAGAAGGTATTAGCACCCCTCGCGTCTGTGGTACTCCATAGGATCCACTCAAGTTTATTCTAATTAAAGGGTGTGTCTATAAGTCTAAAGCTTAATGCTAAGAGAATGCATGTAATTTATTGGGAAAAAGAAAAGATTTTTATTAGTTGTGGCCGCCACGGTTGGGAACCTTTGTGTCTATGTACCCTCTTCGTGAAAAGAGAGATCAGGGCACTCATAGTTCACCTAAAAAGGTGTTTTGGTTTGTTGTGTGTTTTTTATGAACAATGATAGCAAAGCGTGTCCTTTTTGAAAGTTTTCAAAAGAAAAAAAGCCCCAAAGGGAAAAAGAAGTTTGATTGGTTTATATTTTTTACCTTGAAAAAAAGGATTTGGTGATTTGAACCAAACAAAAGACTATGAATATAATAAAGTACAAACTTTGGGAATGGATCCACTCATCCTTCTCCCCTCCTTAAGGCTCATTGAAGTGTGATTGTCATTAACTATTAAGTGTTTTAAGAAGTTTGAGAAGAAAATAAGTTTTAGTTTTAGAATGGATGCAAAAGAGAAAAAATTAATCAAAAGGGGAATCTAAATCCTACTTATTGTCATGCTTGTGGACGTAAAGTTGAGATAAGGGGAGATCTACCTAATGTTGTCATGCATGGATAACAAATCCTAAGGTTTATTTAGTTCAATCTTGACCAAGAATAAACTAAAGGATCATATGGGGGACATGCAATCTCACGAGGAAAGAAGAAAGAAGAAGAGAGAAAGCAATCACTTATTTAAACAAGACATGTGTTGTACCCCAAAATTTTCCCTCTCATTTCTCAAAATATTTCCCACAAGATCTTCAACAGTTCAAGCTTGCACAAGGATTGACTAGGTCAAGACATATTCTCAACACTGATACCTCAAATTAGGGTTTGAGTTTTCAAAAGGACAATTGGACTTTTAATGCCTCATATGACTTTCATGGATCATTATAGACTTTCAAGATTGCTCATGTCAAGTTTCAAGTGTTGCAATTCAAGTTTACTCAGTCAATTGATCAGATGACCTAAAATCAGTTGTATTGGATAAAAAGTCAATTGTGGTCAACTTACAGTCAAACTTTAATATTTTGGACCAATATTAACATTTTTAAGTCATGTGCATCAATTTATCAAGCTTGGATCATAATTCCCTAAGAAAATGGTTCAAATCACCAAAAGGGCAAAATGGTCAAAATTAGGATTTTGACTGTATTTGACTGATCAAGAGATTTTGACCTAATACATGACTTATTGGTTTGAAATATGATAAAAAGGATTAAAATGCATCATATTGACCTAATTGTATGGTTCAATTCATTCCTCAAAACCAATTGATTGATGTTGAAATTTGGTCAACTGATGAAAAAAACAATTGTACATTAGAAAGTCAAACTTTGAGTTTTCGATCAAAATCAAGTTTCAAAGATCACATTTCATTAATACATGTCAAAATATGAAGCTTGATCATCAAGAAAATCAAAAAGTCAAATTCCATCTTGAAAAGTAAAAATTTCTAAGACTTAGAAATTTTTCTAAGTGTTTTATACATGATTTCATGCCAATTTTTCACCATGATGTAAGATGATTCAAGAAAAACTTTCAACATGAAAGTTTTAGATCTTTATGAATTCTATAAACTTGTATTAGAGGGCTCATGTACAAAAAATGCTGATATTTTGAGTTATAAGGTCATAAAATTATGAACTTTTTCTTAAAACACTTAGTGAAAAATTGACCTAGTTAGGAAGATTTTTGGTACCAACTTCACGAAAACTTTTCACATGGTTCCAATTGGATTATTCAAAAATGGAAAACATGAAGGTTGTAAAGGATTTTACAATCTTTCCAAAAATTTCAAGAACTCATTTAGATCATGATTGAGCTAAGAGAATCGAAGAGATGAAGAGTTAGGGTTTCATTCTTGATTTACAAAGCAGAATTTGTGATGAACACTTGACCAATTCATAGCCATGCTGCATAATATTTGTCTTGCAGGCATCAAACTTGTTAATCACTCCATAATTTAATGTTTCCATAACCGATTGATCAACTGTCCAATTGATTCAAACATTATCCAAACCAAATTGCCATTTTAGGAAGAAAGTAACCATTCCATTCTAGTAAAGTTGCTTTAATCACAAGGCCAACTTGT